TCACTGTATATTTTCTCACATTTATGATGAAGACTAAGAATCTTGAATATTATTATTTCTGTACAATTGAATGCATTATTTTATTTCGTGGAAAGTTAAACAGAGAATATGTTGATTAAAGGATATCTCTATGTAACAAGAACAAAAAGAAGAAAGTACTAAGAAAATACAAATATTCTCGAGTCTACATTAAAGAAAAATCAAAATGACTTAACTCATTTATATCGGAAAAGAAGTACTTCTCTCTATCTTATCGATGAATTACTCATTGAAAATAAGGAATATATACTTTAATACTGTTTAGATCTAATTATCTTTATAAATTGAATATTAGATAAAAACAAAATAAACTTGTACTAGACAAGAATTATTCATGTCTATTAAATACAAGATACATATTTGCTGTGAAGATTTTCGAACTTGACTGAAAAAAAGTATATACATATAAAAGAAAAGGATCTACTGTGAATCACGACGAAGTTACTACTATTTGAAATACGGAGATCCAAATCACGGATATCACTTTTGGTTTTATCCTAATAGTTGATCACTCATGAACAGTCGTTAAGATATACAAAAGGGTATGGGTGTTGGGGTGTGGTGTATAGCATACCACGATCACTCATTAAGAAGTGCAAAAAGACATTAGAACAAGATTAAACTAAAGAATTCCAAATACGTAGTGCGTAGATGTGAGTGTGGGTGCAGACGTAAGGCTGCGGGAACGATTAACAAGAAAGTTCAAACCTACACCCACACCCTCAAGATATGTAGACGAAAATCACATGCATTATTTAAAGGAACATAAGGATTTTCTCAATTCTCAGCATTAAATGTTGAATAACCGATCAATGTCGACAAATGTTGCAGAAACGATTTAATGATTGTTCTATGAGGATCAATGGTGTTTATTAAAAAAATGCCAAGAGCGTAAACAATACTCTGTGCAAAAACTTGATCAACAGAAAAAAGAAATTGATCAAATACGAACGAAAACAGTTGAACTTATTCTTGAGCAAGAAACGGATTATAAAGATATTTTGTTCATTGAAAATAATCCCTAATAATATCAAACGAAGTATAAAGAACTCTGCCTTTCTTAATATTCGATGTTTTAATCATGAACAATTATTGAATTTATATTTAAGAATAGACATAAGTTCTTTGAACTCATTACCAAATAATCAATTTTTTCACAATGATTAGTTTATAATGACTTCTAGAAAAACATTTTTCTTATTAGATCAATATTTGAATAAATGCCTGTTTCATAGAGATTTAACTGTTATAATACAATGTCACTTGTCAAAAGTGTTCGTGTTCAATATTAAATAGTTTTATAATAATAACAGATAAAAGTCAAATAGTGTTTGATAACGAAATAATCAGATCATTCGAACGAATTCAAATGATCGAAAACAAAAAATTGATTGTCTTACATATGCTCACATGCAAGCATCAGTCTTACAATAAATCAATCGAATTGAAAAATTTTTCAGTTGAATACTTTATCCTCGTTTAACTTTATCAAAGAATGAAATGTTTCCAAAAAGATTGACAGCCCAACAAATTTATTTATTATATTGTTTAACACGTGTTCTATTCATATCGAATAATGCAAATAAAATAGTCAACATACAACCTTGATGGTGAACAATACTGAATGAAATATGATTACGTATACTTTACATTTTATATATTCGTGATCAAAGAATATTTCGCCTTGGTTTTCTAAAATATGATCAATGGATTAGAATCGATCACAATACTTTCACTCGTTTTCACTTTAATATAGATGGACCTGCAAGCCGCATGAATTAATATTTTAAATAGACAGAAGAGACGAAGAATAGAATTTCATTTTTCATTCTATATGAACAAATGTCTCAGATAAGCGAAACTAAATGAAAGTCTATGCAAAAAAGACGTATTCATCTGTATTTTAATGAAGCAAAACGAAAAAGAATGATATAAATATTGCATTCATATGTAAGAAAAAAAACTGATGTAATCTTTCTTCTTGATCAAGGTTTTTTTTTTTTGTTCTAAAGCATGGATGACGACATTATACTTGTACTGTGAGGTCCAATTTGCTTTTCTTTTTCTGCTCTCTGTGAACTATTAGTAGAATCCGTTGGGTCGAAAATTTTTGTACTTCGTTTTATTAAATTTTTTTCTACCCGAACCTAGACCCCATCTGAACTCATAATATTCTCAATAAAATTTTCAAATTCGTCTTGATAGTCACTCCACAGATATGAAATACTTTTTTCGCTTATTTAGATTTAGCAAATAGCACGTCTTATACATTTTTCAGGGCATCTTGATGACCATCGTATAAGAATATGATCATAACTGACTTTTACTTTTAGAGTAGTAGTTTTTGGGTTAGACTCGGACCTGATCGAATCCAAGATCAATCCAACGGAATCTAATTGTGAGTAAGATTGGTGACAATTTTTACATTGCCCTAATTTGATACACTTATATATGGTTTGGTTATTGTTTTGTGTCCTTTTGTGTTAAATAGATATGGTGTGATTATCGTCAAAAGCCTCGATAAAAAGAATAATTACCAGTTACTCTATTTTGTTACGATGTATAAGCGATAGAGAGAAAAGAGAGAGAGAACTTGTCGACACGTTTCTTTTCCTACTTGGAGCAGGTTTATTTTTTGTCTTGCTCGTTTTCTTTCTCTTTTTATATAACTATGGTTGGTGAGCATCATTATTTGCACACTTTTAGTTGATCGACATAGCTCATCATGCCTACGAAGCGAAATAAAAAAGATCAAGGTCCAAGTCTTTATAAAGCATTTGCTGATGCTTATATGAATGCTCGGCCTGATGAAAAACAAGCTGTAAGTTCATTTTTTTTTAATGAGAATAAATAATCAGATCTTTTTTTTTGAAATAGGTAAAACATCGTGGTGCTCAAGCTGAATGGAATGAAATAAAATCGAATGAAGAATATGTTAAAGAAAAAATCGAAGAATATTTAGAAATATGTAACGAACTTAGGGCACCTTATTATCAAGCTTTTGAACACCAACCATCATCTATTTCTTCAAATCTACCAAAAGATAATTGTAATCGACTACTAACAAAAGATAAAATAGATCAATTAAATGAAACAACAAATCAAGATAATAATGAAGATGTTGAAGATTATGATGATGATGATGATGATGATGATGATGATGATGACGATAATGATGACGACGATAATGATGAAGATGATCAAGGAAAAAATAAAAAGACAAAAAAACAAAAAAGTGGTAATATTAAAAAACGTAAACTAGTTGATGAAGAATTACTAAAAGATCTGCAAGGTTTACCATCTGTAGATGGTGTTCAATTAGAACCGTTATCAACACAAACAAGACAACCAGCACAAGAACGTGTTTTTAGAGAATTAAGCGCAATTAATGACCGAATTGCTTCATTAATACAAGTTAAACAAATGGGTTTATTAACACTAGAAAATAGAAAACAATTAAAACAATTAATAAAAGATAGAAAAACAAAGGCTTTTCAATTAAAACGTCTTCAATCGAAAACAAAAGCTTCATTTAGATATAGAGATAAACGACGAAGAATTGTATGAATATTTTTTTTTTCTTTTATTCTTTTTATTTTTTCTTCTTTTTTTGTTTGATTATTTATAGATTGAATATTTATTTGAAACAAAGCCTGAACTACGTCCACGATTAAAAAAACTTTATCGTCCTGGTGGTGGTCGACCACGAATTGAAGAAGAATGTCCTGATTTATTACAAATAATTGAAGAAATTGCAAAAGTTGATGGAGCAAGTGATAATCGAAGACGATCAGAAACTATTCGACCTTGTTTAACATTAGATGATTTAAGAGAAAAACTTAAACAAAGAGGTATTAATATTAAAAGAACAACACTTTATTATCGGTAAATAATTAAAATCATATAAAAGAACATTTTTTTTGCTAATTGTATCACCAGTTTTCAAATCATCTTATATACAATTGTTTATTTTGAATATAGTTTTATGCAAGTAAATTAGCTCCATTTTTACCAGCGATCCCTCTCGAACCGAAAAAAAGTTTTTCGTAAAAATCAAAACTTTGACAACAATTCATCTTGTTCATATCGAGATAAATATTCAATAGAGAGAATGTTAGTGACTCAATCGATCATAGTTTAGTTGAGAAACGTTTTCAAATTGATAGATATTCTTTGACAATTATTTTAAGTTCTATGATAATGATATGTTTTGCTAAATCTGTTCCTACTATTCGATCTTTGACTTGTTTTAATCTAGCTAAAGAAAACTTGTTTCGATTCATGTTTGCAAAGATCACAGTTAGCTGCAGTGCTATTCTAAATACTAAAAACGCTTTTTTTTTTGTTTAAATTAAAAAATTCAGAAGAATATATATATATGTAAACAAGAATAAAATTGTCTATCGAATGAATTTACAGTGTACGAGAACATTCTTTTTCTTTCTTGATCTTTACAACGTTGAGCAACATTTGGAAATAGTTCTCAAGCGATTAGTTCTATTCAAACACCGATCACGAGCAAACTAAATAGATATGAGAAGAATGAAACTTTTATACCTGTCCTGTTGGTAGTTACTTCCAGATAAGTTTTTCCAATTATAGTAAACAAAATTGGAATCATTTAATGATTATATTCGAAGTAAATTTCATGATGAACTTATTTCGATTTTGAGTTTCAAAACAAAATACTATCAACTCAGTTTATTTTCTGTTGAAAGAACGAGTTATGGTTCCTTCGTATGAAAATAAAGAAGATGATGATAGAAACCATGCCTTATATATTTTTTTAAATGATTCTAGTAGATGTTTATAACTTTAGGACCCGATTAGATTTTCAATTTTCTAATTATTACATTGGAAATCCTTGATTATTCAATTTTAATGTGAAAAATACTTCAAAAACCAATATCATAATCCTTAGTAGAAATCATTTGATGAATTGAATTAGAGTTTGTTCCAGTCGATATAGTTTTTCATGGACTATAAATACATGTAGAATTTGTCAAGAAAAATTTTTTGGTCCAAATTAGAACCTTGGGTCACTTCAGAGTTGCCTCAAAAGTTAAGTTAAAAAGAAAGTCATGAGAAAATTTTGAAACATATATATATGTAGGTCGACGGTATTGATCGCGTTGATTCCAAAATGTTATCTATTTTAATTGAAAAGTTGATAATTACGACAGAAATCGCTGAACGTTGAACAAAAACGACCCTTTTACCTCTCCACACAAAACTTTCGTTACTCCAAATATAGTCAATACAGCTTTGTTCTTGGAAAATTATACATGAATTTATAGCCCATAAAAAATTGTATTGACTAATATAAAACTCAGAGTGAGCAAACTCTGATTCAGTTCATAGGATGATTTCTACCAAGGATTATGACATAGGTGTTTTATGTAATTCTTGAAATTATTAAGATTCAATTGAATCAATCTCTCTACTAACCGTTATCCGTCCTTTGTGTTACAATGGTTTTTTTCATTTTTTAGACAATTTTTTTAAATTAAAAAATTTTCAACTGATTCGATGGTGAAAAATGAATATTAATATTTTTTGAATGATCATTCAGAGGATTGGTAAAGTTATTCTATACTTTATTGAATACATCCTCATTTTTAGAATTTTTATTGAACACAATGGACAGGAGTTTTGACCATGATTACAATTCAATCAGACTAAGAATATCCAAAACAAAGATTCTCAGCTGTTTCAGATTTGTTCTATCTATGAAATTTTTATCTAACCTCATTGATAAAAATTTTATCAGTAAAAAGAAAATATGTATTAAAAGACCGACTGGACCTTTTTATCATACCAGCTGTTAAAATCTTTGACTAAAACTTTTCTTCGTTCGTTTTATTCGCTTATTTTGATACTCATTTATTGAATTTATAAAATAAATTATGATAATAAATTGAGCTAACTAAAAATCTAGTAAATGTTATTGTGACGATCATTATAATCAAATTCGTCTCAAACCTAAATTGGTACAAATTTGATTAAAAAATAGGTTAACGTTGTTTAACTAAATATTTTTTTTTGCAATGATTTCAACTTGGTTTTGTGCAATTCACCAAAAAGACTTCTAGAGATGATCATCTATGCCACTCATCTTGTTTTTTTAGGCACGATTCGCATCTCTAGTATGAACTGGTAGACAAAATCTTGTTAGACATTTTTTTTTATCCTGATTGGATTTTGTCAATGTTTGAAATGTCCATAATTAAATTTCGATTAAACAAATAATTTATTTTGATCATCTAATTGTGAATATGTACAAATATAAAATATTCTTTTTTTTTTTTTTTTAAATATTTAGTTTGTTACCTCATCGTGCAAAATCAAGAGATGGCCGTCGTCATGTTAATACTGCTCCAGTTCGTCTTCGTCGTGCTCGAAATGATGATCATGGAAAACATGAAGATGGTCATTTTGCTACAGCAACAATACGTTATATGAAAGATTTAGCTTCAATATTCGGCAATGATTGTGTTTTTTATTTATCACAAGATGATAAATGTAAAGTTCCATTAGGTTTACCTGCGGCTAGAGTTCAAGCGCCAATGTTAATGCATTTGGATTATCGAATAAGTTTACCAGATCATGATTGGGTAGTTGCACCTCGACATCAATTAATACCAAGTGTATATGCAGCATGTCTTTTATCTCAAGATGGAGATGTAGGTCATTCAGGTCCAACATATATAGCTATACGTTCAGCTAAACATGATCTATCAACTGCTGAATCACATGCAATAGATTTTGATCGTCTTATGTGTTTAAAAGAATTTGAAAAAGTAGCACGTGATGAAACTGGACGAGTTAAACCAATTGTTATTGTTACTGTTGATGGTGGTCCTGATGAAAATCCACGTTTTCCAAAAACTCTTGTTGCAAGTATTAGAAAATTTAAAAAATATAATTTAGATGCACTTTTTATTCTTACACATGCGTAAGTTTTTTCGCATTTTAATATTAAAAATTTTTTGAATATGTGTTTTTTTTCTTTCTGAGTCCTGGTCAATCAGCCTATAATAAAGTTGAAGGTCGTATGGCTCCATTATCTCATGATTTAGCTGGTCTTATATTACCACATGATCATTTTGGATCACATTTAAATGATTCAGGTGTAACAATAAATATTGAATTAGAAAAATTAAATTTTCGTAAAGCTGGACAAATCTTAGCTGAAAGATGGAATCATTCTATTATTGATGGATTTCTATGTGTTGCTGAATATATTAATCCACCAGCGACAACAGAAGATGAACGTAGACAAGTGGATACGAAAATTGTTATGGATGGAATTTTACGAAGGTTAATTTTATATTTTTGCTTTTTTATTTAAAATTATTTTTTGTTTTTAAAATAGAATTTGTGCTGAAGAAGAAGCAGAAGAAGGATGTGAATTTCATGTTCATGCATCGGATGAATATTATCAAGAAAGAGCTCGTCTACGAAGAGAAAACTTTGGTGAACAACTAAAATATGATATTGATGAATATTGGTGTGCTATGCATGTTTTACAAACACAATATACTTTACAAATTATTCGTTGTAATTCAGTTGAATGTTGTGGTCAATGGCGTTCCAATTATGTTCGAATATTTCCTCATCGATTTTTACCATCACCTGTACCATTTGAACGTACAGCATTTGGTATTAGAATGGCAGAGAAAGATTTTCAAAGAGGACAATTTTATGGATCATTATTTCAACGAATTCAATTTCATGGCATTGTTATTCAACATACACAGGTTAAAAAAAAACACTAGATCTACTTATCATTATCATCATATATGATTGTCATATAGACTAACAAAAGACAAGAAATTATAATAGAAATAATAACTAACAGTTCTCAAGTAGAAGATACTTATTCAATTTTTATTTTTATTTTTCCAATAGATAAGTAGTATCAATAGGTAGATTAGATAGTTTGCTCTTCGTTCCATTACTTCAATAGTCATTGGGAAAAAGATGAAGCGACAAAAGAAAAACTTTTTTTTTTGGTATATCATCAATATTTGTTTATAAGAACATCAATCGACTCTAATCGATTTTTTTATTATAATGCATAACGAGCATCGATTCCACTCATAGCTAGTCGTGATTCGAACATAGATATGCAATGAAATTTGTAACTTTGTTCTGCTTCTAATGATGGCTAGAATGATTTCAGCTCAATCAAGACATCAATCGAAATAGATGATCCTATTCATGTCTAATTGAGTACTTCAAAATGAGAGTACAAAGCGATTTCCGATGTTTTCGTGCCAGAACCTGCTCGTACTTCTTGATCCGAGCGACATGAATGAGATAGGAATTAGTTGTTCCATTTGCAAGCAAGACCAGGACGAAGTACTTCGAACTTATAGACAATGCTAGAAAATTATTTCAAGCCCTGTACTAACAAATTTCACTAGATCTGAAAGAATTTTTGTGGCCAAGACTAAGCCAAGGTCAGTCCTCATATTTCATTTTTTTACAAAAACAAATCATGAACATTGTTTCAATCTCGATTTTCAGCAAACATAAATGAGACTCATTTATCAATATCTAATAATAACAACCACGCCATTGATTCATCCTCACTGCTCACTTCATATTAATAAAAACAAAACGATTTTTTTTTTCAGAATGAAATGTTACCATTTGATTATTGTTGTTCATCAGTAAAAAAAGAAATAAAAAAACGTATATGTAAAGTATGTAATCAATATATTCCGTCAGCATATCGTATGAAAAATCATTATAAAATTCATGCACGACATCATGAAGATGTTGACCATAATCAAGATGATACATTACCATCACCAGCAGCAACAACTGATATAAAAACAGATTCAAATGAAAGTCAATCAACAACAGCAACAGCGGTAGCACCTATACTTAAAGCAGAAATATTAGATTGGCTTCAAACAGATTTCGATGACTGCGGTCTGGATTCAGCAGCAATTCAACCTACAAGTGATCGTATTACACGTTCGATGAAAAAAAAATTACGCGTTGAAGAAAACAAAGATGATGATGACAATAAAGATTACGTGCATGTAGAATAAAAGTATTCAATATTTTTATTATCAACAATATCTTCACTTTTAATTATTATTCCAGTTTAGCTTCTTACAGTCTTACTTTTTTTGATTGATTAACTTTTCTTGAATTTTCATGTTGTTTTTTATTTTGCAGTCTTTTTCTTTTTGCGTAAAGATTTTCGTATAAGAAAATATTTTAATATACAATGAGAAATTATCTTGTTTTATGATCAACATAAATATATTTAAAGTATTGAAAATAAGAAAAGAATTTAACTGTAATAGTAACTCATAGTTCAATCAATAAAATACATAATTTAGATTCATAAGCTTTACTATAGAACCTAATTTGAAAAAATATTCAAGAAAAAGAAAAAAAGAAAGTTAAGATATTTACTAATAAAATGTTCTCTACATTATCTGGTTGAAGATTTTTTCTTCATATTTTAAGATCCAACCAGAAGTGGAAAAATTCTCTTTCTACATTTGTTGTTGTTGTTGCAGGAATTGATAAAATCGATCGAGGTATTAACATTGCATTAACTTAATGATAAAAGCAATACTTTTGTATAATGATCCTAACGAGGGAACATTCCCGACTGATTCGCACCATTCGAACTCATATTTTGTTGGTGACCAGGGTTGATTATATATATATATATATATAATATCTAAAAGGGTTCGTGTCATTACTGCTTGGTTTCAGAGTTATGAGCGAAACAAATTCTATGATCGATGGTGCCATCATTTATGCGCTATTTTGTTTTTGTTGTTTTCAGATCTTAACTAGTACGTACTTTTTTATACTTTTTTCACTTGATTCAAATGAGATAAGCTGGTAGTAAAAGGTTCGATCAAAAAAAGTAAGTCCTACTTAAGATTTAAAAACAACAAGAAAATAGCGCATAGATGGTGGCAATCCTTTCTATGATTCTTGTGAGAATTCCGAGTAGGATCAAGAGTGAATCTTGGTAGGATCCTGAATTCTCAATTCAAAAAATAAATCTCAGCAGGAACTAGAGTAAATTCTCAATCAAACTTAACAAAATTCTTTAGATTTATGATTCTGAAAGATTCTTCAAGGACTTCTCAAGAAATGAACAG